GAATCGGGCTGCAAACCACAAGGTCAGCAGTTCGAAACTACCAGCTGCTCCGCGGGAGAAAGATGAGGTGTTCTGCTCCCGTAAAGATTTACAGTCTTGGAAACCCTGTACAGGGTCGCTATGAGTCAGAACCGACTTGATGGCACTTAATAACAACAACAATATCCTTGAACCCAAACTATTTCAGGGGCCAGGACACCATTCCAGAGACTTTATGGAGACCATTGCTAGCATGATTCAAAGAGAAAGGGTAGGAAGCCGATGTCGTATATTGTTGTAAAGGGCTGTGCAGTTGGTTACCACAGAGTGACCCTAAATAGGATTTCCAAAGAACAACTGGTGGATTTGAACCACTGGCCTTGTGGTTAATACTCCAGTGGCCCCTGAAATAGCTACTAGGTCCAGGGATGTAAACCAGGAAATCCAGTAGTTTCAATTGGGTTGCAATAACAAAAGGATTAGATCAGTTGATTCTGAAATTCTTATGACTAGGGCTTCCCCCAGGCAACCAAAATGTTGTTTTCTAACCCAGATCCTGCTATTTTCATCCTCATGAATCCCTTCCCTATAAATAACAAAGAAAGGGGAAGATTCTCAAGGAGATGGAATGGGAATGTGACTGCACTAATGGGCTCAAAAATAACAATTGTGAGGACAGTGCAGAATCTGGCAGTGTTTCTGTTGGACAGTTACTATGAGTCACAACTGACTCAGAAGCACTAACAACACAAAATAATTAGCCCATCAGATACACTAGCATTAATTACATCTTTTTTAATAGTCTAGTGTTTATCCTACAGTCACACCAATATGACTTCTCGATGTCATATATACTTTCTCAAAAAAAGTGACGCTGACAGTGTCCATTTACAAGAGTAAAAAATGAAAAGAACACAATGCACATACTAATTCTTTATTTTGGATTTATAAAAACAGCCTGTCCTCAAAAGTGAGGGTTTCTTTCAAATATATTTGATTTTTTATTCAGAATTTTAGAAAAAGAATAAAACCCCGAAAACTCCCATAATTTCATACACATAAAACAATTCTGATTTGATGGTTATGTTTCTAAAAATATTAACAGTAACTTTAAAAACAAAACAAAAAACACAAATAGCGTTTGTCTTCCCCCTTCTCTCCTATCCCAAGTCCAGAAGCTGTCAGTATATAGTAAAAATATTACAAGTTGGGCTGCTAACCTCAAGGTCAGCAGGTGAAACTACTACCAACGGTTCTGCCGGAGAAAGATGAGGTTTTCTGCTCCTGTGAAGATTTACAGCTTCGGAAACCTTATGCAGGGTGGCTATGAGTAGGAACAGACTCCACAGAACTTAACCAACCATTCTTCAACTGAATTTTCAATACGTGAGTCAAATTTTTGTATCTTGTTTTGTTTTATTAAATGTACTCGAGAAGGAACAATGACAAATTATTCATGACCTCGTGCCGGAAGAACAGGGTCCAGTTAGGGGATGTGACTTTATTGGAGGAACACTGGCCAGTGCGAGGAGTCTTATCCAGCAAAGACATGGGCCCAACAAGCGGAGGGAATCGCAGACCTCCGCACACGCAGGTTCTTCTAAGTTCCGCTGACTCGGCTCTACCCTGCGGTGTCGGGTTCCCGCGCCAGCAGGTGTCGCCGGGTGCAAAAGCGGCTATTTATGACTGCGGGGTAGGATTGGGGGTGCGAGGACAAGCAGCAGTCGGGATTCGTCCATTCCCGTCCCAAGACCCCTATTTGCCCTAGTCAAAAAACACCCCCGCAAGTAGCCAGGCTATGCGTTTGCAGGGGTCGCTTTCGGACAGCGGCGAGTCTCCCCCCCGCAGCTGACTTCTCGCGAGATTTCAGCACCCTTCCTTGCTCTTGCTCTCAATCTCTCTCTCTCTCCCCCTCCTTCCTTCCCTCCTCCCCCCGCCCCTTTCAAGCTCCAGCGGCTCCCGCTATGGCTGCGCTGCGGAGGCTTCTGTGGCCGCCGCCTCGGCTCACGTCTCCGCTCCCTCCGCACCAGCCCTTTCCTGGGCCTTGGGGGCGGCCTATGGGGATAGCACCGAGCCCTGCTGTCCGGCCTTTCTCCAGCCGAGAGGAGGAAGAGGAGGCTGTGGTTGAGGCGGCATGGAGACGACGTCGGCGCTGGGGGGAGCTGAGCATCGCGGCGGCGGCTGGCGGGGGTCTAGTGGGCCTGGTGTGCTATCACCTGTACGGGGACCCCAGGGCTGAGTCCAAGCCGGAGCCGGGACGCCCTTCCGAAATCTCGACGGGAGACCTAGAGGACCCGCCCCGTGGCCGGGGACTGCTCCCCATCCCGGTGGCGGCTGCCAAGGAGACGGTATGTATGTGAGCGCGTGCGCACGCCAAGCCGGTAGGCTCGCAGGTAATCCCAGAGGGGAGAGCTGCCAGGTGTTCTACTTGAGCGGGGTGAAGTATGGTAGATGGTGTGACATCCGTTCAGGGTGTGCCTGAGGCTGTTGTAGTCACCGCAACACCATAAGAGGTTGTCGCAGTGTAAGCTATCTGGCAGAGTCGGAGTCCCTTGTTAGTGAAACCTAGACCTTTTAGGCCTGGCAGCACCGGGTTCTTTTATCCAGGTGTTTGGGAAGATAAAGATGCTGCTGCCATTGATTCTTCAGGACTTTGAAGCTTGTTTCAGGAAACACTTTTAAAACAAGCCACCGCCAAGAAAATTACTAAGCAAACAAAATACAAGAGGAATGTCAGGGGCTTGATGAGCAGAAAGTAGAGTTGTCATTAAGCGCCATGAGTCGGTTCCCACTCATAGCGACCCTACATAGGGTTTCTGAGGCATTAAATCTTTGCAGGAGCAGAAAGTCTCATCTTTCTCCTTGGGAGAGACTGGTGGGCTAGAAACGCCCTCCTTGTGGTTTGCAGCCCTGAGTCGTGGTGGTGGTTATTTGATGTGGAGTTGGTTCCGACTCGACTCATACAGGGTTTCCGAGGCTGTAAATCTCTACCGGAGCAGAAAGCCTCATCTTTCTCCCGCGGAACTGCTGACCTTGCGGTTTGCAGCCCGATTCGTAACCACTACGCTACCAGAGCTCCTTGCAACTCTGAGTGTGGTTGCATAATTAAGAGAAAGAAATCTCGAGGCTGAGCAAGAAAACAGCCACTAGTCTAGAAGATGCTGTAGTAGGATGGATTTTGAAACAGTGATCTGAGTTTGCAAAGACTACTACATTGGGTAAGAAGCTCTGGTAGCATACTGGTTACCAGTCGAGCTGATAACTTCAAGGTCAGCAGTTGGAAACTACCAGTCTTTCCGTAGGAGAAAGATGAGGCTTTCTGTTTCTGTAAAGATTTACAGCCTTGGAAACCCTATACAGGATCGCTGTTGAGTCAGAACCGACTTCACGGCACACATCACCACCACCACTACATTGGGTCTCAAGACAGGAAATACCAAAACTCTGCTACTATCTTAACATAGATCAGAAGGAATGAAGATGTCATTTGGAATACTGTAAAAACCGTCTATTCAAAACAGATTTCCTTTTCCCTCTCCCTTGAGAGACTAAAAAAGTTTGAAAATGTAGATGAATTTAGATAATTTGTAAAAGACAGTTATTCTTGAAATTTTAATGAAATTTATTTAATCTATATTCTTTGCCCAAATACACGTGTAGTGTTGATCTAAGTCTTTTGGTGGAGGTTTCTAATGCATTTAGATCTGGATCTTCTAGCTGCAATTTACAAGTACAGAGCATAAAATAGTTTTATACAATAAATTCTTAAAATGAGAGGGTGAGTAAAAAATTATCCATACTCTGGCTGTAGAATTTAATCAACTTAAAAAAAAAGACAAATACATCAGTTTTCAACATAATCTCCTTGACTTTCAGTACCCTTTTGCTCTCTGTCAACAAGCTTTCATGTTCCCTTATTAAAGAACGTTTCAGGCTGAACTATGAGCCACAAATAATGCACCACTGTCTTCACTTCGTCATCAGAGGTGAATCTTCATCCTCAAAGAGCTGTTTTCAGGGTAATAAGTAGATGAAAGTCCAATGGAGCAAGATCAGAACTACAGGGAGGATGCTTTAACACCGCAAAATGAAGTTTTTGCAGTGTCCAGAGTGTGGGCAGAGGTATGTGGACATGCATTGTCATTTTAAGAGCATAACATCGTTAGATAGTAGTCCTCTGCATTGAATCCAAAGTTTAAGCTTCAGATCTTCAGTGAGCATCTCACTGCAACAAGCGCCTTTGATTGTTGAACCTTTTTCCTGATAGTAGTGTTCCAATACTGGCCGTTGAGAATCCCAGAAAACTATAAGCATCAGTTTTCCAGCTGGTGATTGACTTTTGAACTTTTCTTGGTCAGCAATTGTAGATGTTTCCATTCCATACTCTACTGTTTACTCTCAGGCTCATAGTGATGAATCCATGTCTTGTCACCAGTAACGATTTTTTTTTTTTTAATCTTCCTTCAAGTATCTGTCCAAATTTTGTTTGCAGATGTCCAAATACTTCTGTTTATGCTCTTCTGTGAGTTGTTTTGGTACCCATCTGGCACAAACTTTTGAAACCCAAGTCTGTCATGGATTATTTCATAGGCAGAGCCATGGCAGATGATTTGCTACATAATCCACTGACACTCATCTATTCAGTAGAATCATTTTCACCTGCATGTTCAATGTTGTCATCAACCATAGACATGGGCAAACATTTTAATATAACCAGAGTATGGATAATTATTAGCTCACTCTCATACAACGTAAAGAGCTCTGGTAGTGTGGTTACGAGTTGGGCTGCTAACCTGACGGTCAGCAGTTCAAAACTACCAGCTGTTCTGCAGGAGAAAGATGAGGCTTTCTACTCTTATAAAGATTTACAGCTTTGGAAACCCTATACTCCACGGTACACCACCACTACCACCACACACTACTTTAGCTTCCAGCCCCACTCTCCTCCCCAATACAAACACACTTTTGTGGATTAAAGCCAGTTACTGTCAAGTGGATTTCCATTCATGATGATCCCTTGTGTGTCGTAACAGAACTGTACTCCGTAGCATTTTTGTTCTTGTGGTTATTTGCCATCAAGTTGGTTCCAATTCATAGCGATCCTGTATAGACTTTCCAGGGAGTGGCTGTGGATTTGTATTGCCCAACCTTGAGGTTCAACCTGACCTTGTGTTACAGGGTTTGAACTACTGACCTATCGATTAGCAGTCCAGTGCTTATCCTACAGCACCACACCAGGACTCCATCGCACTAAAAAACCAGCCACTCCACAGAAGAAAGATGAGACTTTCTGCTCCAGTAAAGATTTACAGGCTCAGACACCTATTATGGGGTTGCTGTGAGTTGGAACTGACTCGACAGCACACAACAGCAAAATGGGACCAATAATGCCTTCCTCATAAGTTGTTGGTGGTAAGTGCTGTCAAGTCAGTCCACACTCATAGCAGCCCTGTATTGAGTTTCTGAGAAGTGATCTTTCAGTTAGTAGTCCAGACCTTATTCTGCAGCACCACATCAGGGTGTTAGATTTCAAACAGTAGTATCCAGGTGTGTTTTCTAGTGAGCCATAACAAAATGTCACAAAATGGGTGGCTTTAAAGAACTGATTAGACTAGGACCCACTGTACTTCAGCCTGACCTCATGTTAACTGATAATATCTCCAAAGACCCTGTTTCAGACAAGGTTATGTTCACAGGGGTTAAGAACCTCAGAATTTCTTTTTGGGGATGCATTTCAATCCATAACAATGCTGACATGTAGTCAGTATTTTATTGTTGTTAGGTGCCATAGAGTCAGTACTGACAAGATGGCACCTAACAACAGAACAAAACAATGCCCGGTCCTGGGACAACCTCACAATTATTGTAACGCTTGAGCCCATCGATGCTGCCACTTTGCCAGTCCATCTCGCTGGAGGTGTTCCTTCTTCTCTCTGACCCTCCACCTTACCAAACATGATATCCTTCTCCAGCGACTGGTCCCTACTGACAATAAATATGTCTGAAGTATGAGAGATGAAGTTTGACCATCTTGGCCTCTAAGGAGCACTCTGGCTATACTTCTTCCACAGTGGATCTGTTTGTTCTTTTGACGGCCCATGGCACTTTCAATATTCTCCTCCAACACCATAACTCAAAAGCATCAGTTCTTCTGTGGTCTTCCTTATTCATTGTCCAGCTTTCGCATGCATATGAGGTGACTGAAAATACCATGGCTTGGGTCAGG